ATTAATTATTATTTGTATTTACAATTATGCTTAATATCTTAATATATGATTTTAAACAATAAGTGAACCCGGTTGAACCCCGGTTCAAAAAAATTCCTGGGTTCGGTTCTAGGTTATGAAAATTTTATAAACGGGGTACAGATTCGGTTCGGGCTAAGATTTTTTTTCAAAAACCAGGGTTCGGTTCTAGGTTTTGAAAATTTTATAAACGGGGTACAGATTCGGTTCGGGCTCAGATTTTTTTCAAAAATCAGGGTTTTCTTTTCCCGGTTCGGTTCAAATTCCTGGTTTCAAATGATTTTAATGAATCAGAAAATTTGAAAATTGATATGGATCGAAGATGTAAGGAATTTTAGGAATGTAATAAAAGTTCTTGAGAAGTAAAAAAGCTAGATGAGGAGGTAAATGTTTTTAAAAGGATGTAAGTTATGCGTCAGTGAAGAATTGATTGATGGATTCCAAACCGCAAACTATGGGGACGAAACGGTTGTATGAAAGTTATGGGTGAATGAGATGGAACAATATATTGGGTAGATCTCAATTTTTTTCTAGCAAATAAAAGTCCAATTCTGAAAGTGTTCTAATGATGGCCAGTGCCTTTGCGGATCCCTTTTAGGGGCTCGTAGAATATTCTTTCATCAATGTACCAATTGTGCAATGGAAGATTACAATCGGCTGAAATGTTTTTGACCAATTTATTGATATTTAAATTAGTATATAGATATTGCTTACGTGCATCCTCTCACTTTCTCTTCTCACCCCTGGAGGCGGTTGCCTCTTTTTGCTGGGTTTTTGGACCTCTAAAAGTGAACTTACCTCGTGTGGCACGTCTTTTCTCCCGAAAGGGTCGGTCTGGGATGATCTTAATCTCTTCTGCCAACATGTAATGTTATTGGTAGGATAAATCTATGGCTTTCGCGGTTTGCTAGTTTCAGTTAATCGTGAGCGTTAGTATTCTAACTCGTTCTGTAATGCGCATGTCGCATGTCCGCTCCTTCATGCATGCGTTTTACTATCATTTGTAGGTGTTTCATTTCGTATCTGTATCTTTCATTTGCACGTTCGCTGACTTGTTTGGGGTGCCGATACGGGACCCATGATGGACCGTGCGATTGAGACTGATCGTAGGGGCCCTAGCGCACCTTGTAGTTGTCTCCGGGGGGACGGTTATTTTATTGATTTGTAAGGATAAAATGACGTTATTGCCGTCATTGGCATGACATGTCTATTCGATCAGATGGTCCTGCCGGTTGGTTTTCCATTTGTATTTCACTCACGGAAGGGCCCGTACCTGATACATCTGCCGGGAGTGATTAATTGTGAAGGGGAGCTTACATTGGTTGGTTCCCTTCCAGTGGGTGACTCTTCCTCGACGTCTGGACTTTTGTGGATGTTGATTTGACTATTAAAAATTCATGAATTTTTAAAGTGTTCACAAGATTTGTTAAAAAAAGGATGGAGCATATTGCTATAATATTTTCATCTTCAAATATTGTCCCAATAAACCAAGAATTATTAAATATTGATGTGGTAAACAAAATCTCATGTTCATTTGTTTAAAATTCTTCAATTTGATAATCAGCTGTAAAATGGTTGAATAGTAATAAGCTGTGTACATATGTTTATCTTCCTGCAAAATATCAAGCAACAATTGAAAATGCCTGAATGCCAGCTATAATAAAATCAATTATTAAATCATCTAAAGTGGTTGAGGTTAAAGTCTGAGGTCTCTTGGCAAAAATATCAGTAGGCGATGAGCCTAGTTTAATATTTTCTTTAATAGTTTTATTCCCCTTCCCCTATTTTATTTTCATTAACAGTGTTAAATTACAATAGTAAATATTTATATAGTATCTATACCCTTAAATTTTTTACAATGTTGCAAGTTGGGGTAATGCTAACTGAAATTTTTGTATTTTTTGGTAGACATGGCAAACATTTTACTATCAAAGATTTGTTTTCTTTATTTTGAGACATATTTAAAAATATGCTTTATAAATTGACCATGGAGAAACAATGTCTGAACTTGTTCATTGATTATTACTTCTTCCTCTTCATCACTATTATGTAAAATAAAATTTTAAAATAGGTATAATAAAATAAAATTAACCAATTCCATTGAAAATAAAAATGGCAAATTCCTTGGATTGTAATATCAAAATTTATCTGGTTTATTGAAAACTCGGACATAATATTTAATGAATATTTATATATATTTTTGTTTTATATAAGTTTTAATATTATATATATATATATATATTTAATTTTTAATCATAGTAGTCTTAATATTTTTTAATATATATATATTTAAATTATATGCTCATATGAAATAAAATAAATTTTGCATTCAAGTATTTTTATTTATAATATAAAAGAGCGTTGAATATAAGTATATCAAAATGTATCTTAAAAAGTATCTAAAAATAGATACAGATAAAATAATATCTAGATACAGATACTTAACAAAAAATCGATCTAAATACTGATAACACATTTTTATATCTAGATACATTAACAACTCTTTAATAATGTTTAAAAAATCAAAATATAGCTACACAAATATGAATGTAAAATGATTTATTAAACTATATTTTTTTAACCAGGTCATTCAATTTCCTGACTGCAGCCGTTTTTGACAAATTTTGAAGATCAGCAAATAAATCATATGCTTCAGCATCAAATAATGGTCTATTAACATGAATCAAGGGTTGATCCCAAAATGATCCAATATATACTCTGGGAAGTTCTGGTGTGTTAAGAACTTTACCCATACTCCACATCAAAGCTCTATTCCATAAACTCTCATTAATTGTTGTGCATCTACTCCATCTACTTTATTTAAAACTATTTGATTTTATCACCATAAGCCCATATAGACTCAATTCCACGTTTAGACTCATCTGATATATCTAATTTATGAGCATCAAATAAAAGAATAATGTGATCATAACATTCAGCAAACTATTCCCAAAATACCAGTAAAGTCTTAACCTCTGTCTACCCTTTTTTTACCTAATAATATACCAGGTGTAAATAATTGTTAAGGCTCTTAAGTACAGAATTATCAACAAGTGAACGAAATCGATTAAGAAATCCATTTCCAAACTTTGATAAAGGGCGAAATTGACGTTTAGAATCAACAACCAGGGCATTACCTGAGATAAGTCTGAAATTCTCCATGCATTATGGCGATAAAAGAATCTGTTGTAGTTTCTGAACCTATTCTAATACCAGGAAAATCCTGCTCTAGAATGTACCTGATAAATGTTGTTTTACCAGTTGAGTATTGTCCAACTAATAAGACTATAGGTATAGCGTCAAAATCTGCATCTTCTGATGCCGACGAATGGAATTCATTAAATTGATATTCCTTCTCGAGTGGGAAAATTTTTTGTTTATATAATAATTTTAAACCTTCTGAGATACTTTCAAAAACTTCAGTATTCTTTTTCTTCTTTTCATCACGGGGCAAATATTTGTTAAAACATTTATAAAGTAAAAAATATTTATTATTTACAATAAAATAGAGGGATAAAAATATGGTTTGAATTTTTTGAAATTAATCAATAAGTGGGATAATATTAGAAAATAAATTTTATTTAAATGATTTTTTTGAAATAAATTTATTTCACTTATATAACCGAATTTAATTGGCCCATTTAATTGGCGATTGCACAACTTCCAACCCAGGAAGATGGTTTATCTTAATTTAGTTTCTTTATCATAAAAAAATATCCCACTTAGTTCGCTCTCCACACCCTGTTCCTCAAAAATATATGCGTATAACTTAAAAAATAATTTGAAAAAAAGAATGTAAAAGTTAATAATTTTTTTAACTAAAACTATTGACTATAATCCACATTTTTTTGGAAAAAAACCACAAATGTTTTCCAAAAATGAAATATAATCCAAAGTCTTAAAACAGAAGTGAAATTTTATATAATTACTATTAACAGATCCATAAAATTACTAAATAATATAATATATTAAATAATTTTATAAAGTGAATTACTTTCATTTATTCTTCTTAATAAAAGTAAAATTTAATTATATAAATATTAATAAAAGTAAAATTTTTAATAAAATTAAGTTATAAATTTAATAAAATATAAATTGAACACACAACTACAAACAGTGGAATATTATGTGTTGTTATATCTAATTTTATATAATAATGTATAACAATCAAATAATTTTATCAAATAGTAAATATATATTGATATAAACATTAGAAAGTATTTTTTAAGTATTATAAATGAAAAAGATAATATTTGTTAAATTACTAAACATATCTATTAATATTTAATTTTCTATTGAGATCATCCTAAAAAAATTGATTCAATATCAAGTGAAAATAGAATATTAGAAATAGTAAGTAACAATCATGAAAATTTATCAAAAGGGAAGGAAATTAGAAATAATTTGAAAAGAATTTATGAAGGTACAATCTATATTTATAATGGGTTTAATATTTATCTATAAAGGTTAGCAGGGATCAAGGCAAGATTAAACAAAATTGTTTTATTATATAAATGTATTTAAAAATATTAAACTATAATTTAACTAAAAAACTATAATAAATTTATTCTTTATATATACAAAAAATCTATTAAACAATTAAATGAAAAATGGTGTTAATTTAATGAATGTAAGATACAAAAATTTGCGCTAAATAGACACCATTATAATAAAATATTAATCCATGTTCAACATTATCTTTAGTGGATAAAAAACTTTTCGTCTCTTTCTGAAAAAATATTATATACTCTCTCAATCACATTTTAATATGAAAATAGTTGATACCATTATATTCATTGAATTAAATATATATCTCTATAAAATCTATTTATTTTTATAATTTTTATAACACGTATATATTCAATTTAACATCGTGTGTGTTCTCTATTCTTATAAGGCGGATTCTCTGTAAGATAGAGAATCTCACGATAATCATAAGAAATAAGAAATATTTTTTACAATGAAAAGACCATAGTATTAGAATGATTTCTTTAAATATAAGATCGCTAAGTGACAAATTGACTATTCTTAGGCAAACTATAAATGATCAAAGATACGACATCCTCCTTTTACAAGAAACTCCTCTGAAAGAGACGGAAGTACGAAATCTTTAATGATACACCTTATACTGCAGCTCGAATGCTGGACATTTATGGGCAGGCGTGGCAATTTTAATCCATAACAAACTAATTAAATTTGTAAGCTTTAATCTAATTTCCAGTTGCATTTGCTGCCTTACCTTGAATATAGGTTACAAGAAAATTCATCTATTCAATATTTATGCACCGCACAATGGTAAAGTATTTTACATTGAGCTGGAAAATATCTTAAAAGAACTGCCTCATCGAGAGAGTATTATATTTTCAGGCGATTTCAATGCCTCGGTTGGAAGGCCTAACAATTCTACTTGCCTCGGGAACGCCACACTAATACAAAGTACAAACACTAATGACAAGAAATTAATAGAAATCTGTGAACACTTCAATTTGAAAATAGTAAATACGTTCTTCAATCATCCTAGCCATCACACCATGACCTACAGAAGTCCTTCCTTTGGCACTACCTCACAAATTGATTTCTTTGTAATTTCCACCAATATCTTCAAGTAGGTGAAAGACATCAAAGTCGTCAGCAAATTCAACTTCACTTTATTTACGGACCATTATCCACTAAGATGCGAGCTAAGGATAATCAATAGCATTTTTCCGAACCATAATCAACAGAACCACCTTAACGCTACACGCTTCATAGCGAGGAAAGACTTGGCACAGCTGAACGATCCGGATATAAAAGAAGAGTTCATCACAAAGCTAACAACATGGAGAAACACCCTAAATGGCATGATCAACCCTAATATAACCTGGAAAGATATGAAACTAAATTTATCAAGCTGTATGACTTCATGCTTAAGACCGCGAATTAAATGTAAAGAGTGGCTCTCCCCTTCAACAATACAGATAATTAAAAAAACAACTAATATCTCCTATAACCAATATACTATACACCACAGAAGGTTCATAACTCGCTGCATAAGTACAGACAAAATATATTTTATTGCCAACATATCTAGATCCATACAATATAATTTTGACAACAATAATATTTACAAAGCTTTCCAATCTCTCAAATTTCTCACAACCTTTAAATCAAATCCTCTTCCAAGATTACACATTGAAAACAATAAAATTATAACGGACCCCAAGGAACAATTAGCTATATGGACAGACCATTACATGAATCTTTACAGGACGAGGCGGCCTAAACCAACGTGTGATTATCCTTTCCAACCACCCAATCGGAACCTGAACAAAATAGATATAATCAATGCCATTAAAAGACTAAAAACCCATAAATCTGCAGGAATCGATGGGATCTTTGCGGAACTATGGAAGATAGATGCGGATCTAAGTTCAGGTCTACTGCTTCCCCTCTTGAATGAAATATGGAATACGGGCAACTTACCAGAGGAATGGATGACCTCGATAATACTGAATTTTCCCAAAAATAAGAACCCGACTACCCTGAAGGACTACAGAGGGATTGCACTGATCCCAGTTACCCTAAAAATGTTCACGATATTATAGCAGTCAGGATCAAACCAATCATCGATAGGAACCTCTCAAACGCCATCACATCGTATAGGAAGGGTAGAACACGACGGAACTAACCATGGCGCTTAAGGTTATTCTGGAGAAAGGTAGAATGCATAAGTCCCCAATATTTGCCCTAATGATTGATTTAAGTCAAGCCTTTGACTCCATTATACAGCATAAGATCTGGCCCTTTCTGGAAGGTATAGGAATAGATAAACATCTGATTTCGCTAATAAAAATAATGTACGACAGTCATAACGTGGTACCACAACTTTGAACATAAAATCACAACCATTTAAGGCCAACAGAGGGCTGAAATAAGGTCGCATTCTATCACCTATGTTATTTAATGTAATAATGAACGATATTCTGAATAAATCTTTCAAACAAAAATATGCCCTTAACCCTCGATATCTGAATCAACAACGCGATAATAACATACACAACTCTCTTAATTTTCTATGCTATGCCGATGATGTATGCATTCTAGCGAACTCTGAGTACAAACTAAGAAAGTTACTGTCTTTGTTTGTTAATAATTGCTATAAATACGGATTAAAAGTCAATTACTCGAAGACAAGGGTAATCGCGTCCAATACATTTGCATCTACAGACCTATTTAACTTTGATAATAATGTGGTAGAAACGGTTTCAGATTTTAAATACCTAGGAACCAGGATAATGTCGTTAGGCACCACAATATTGGATACTAAGTCGAGGACAAACAAAGCCAGATCCCGATACCATCAGCTAACGAAATTAGGGTCGTCCAACCAGATATCCACGAACCAAAAGATAAGACTCTTAAATCCCTTATTCTACCCATCTTAACATTACGATTAGAAACATGGCAGGACACTAAAAGCAATATCAACACATCCCAGACCTCTATAAACAAATGTCTAAGAAAAATCACTAAAACATACTACACGTACAACACCTCAAACTCAACTCTCTGGAATAGGTCGACATCCTACCTATCAATCGACTCATTCCTCTGAGGAGATTAGAATTCTCGGTCAATGCTTAAGACATTCACAAGAAAATATGATATTTTCGTCCATGAAGTGGGCCCCAGATTATGGGAGGCAGAGAACTCCCAAATACTATTGATTGGCAAAATGTCTGAAGCAGGGGCGTCGCTAGCCTTCACAATCTCAGGGGGCTCAACTAAAAAAAATTTTATGGGGGGCTTCACCCCCAAACTTTCCAATTTGCGGGCCTTCGGCCCGCTTTTATATAAATATATTATACTTTTTTAAGTAGTGTTAACACTGAACAATTATTCTGATTTTCATATTTTGTCATTTATTATATTATGCATACATAATAAACTGGCATATAAAAAATCACATAATACAATAATATAATTCTTAGCAACTTACATTGACAAAAGGTTATCAAACTAGTATAATTTTCTGTAACCATTTTAGACAATGTTTTATAGAATGAACTAATAAGGAAAAATTTATAGGCCTAAACCAAATCAACAATTTTTGTAGGAGAGAGTATAAACGACTAATCCAAATCATAAAACTATATTGTGGTTAGAGCTTGCTCTTAGATGACATTACGGAAGCTAGATAAGTAATCGAGAAAATTATTGTGAGATATTAAATTTCTAAAAGATTATCTTCCATTTTAAATGATATATAAACGACTCCAAAATATGCAATTATATGTTTTCAGCCGTTATAGTAATTATCTTAAATTACATAGCAACACAAATAATAGATGCTGGTTAATTTGCAATAATAGACATGACACTTACGATGTAAACTAATATCAGAATTTATTATGTTGAATAAATTGATAAAATAAAAACACTAAAAATCTTTGGAAGAAATAATTATTCAAATATATTTGAAGCCTGGAGTTATTTACACGGCAATGTCATATTAGAAATGAAACATTTTTTAACTATAAATAAGGACCAGAATGATATGATGAAACAATTAAGATTTTATATATTGTCGCACCACTGGTATATTATATTTAAAATAATAGTAGTTTGTAATAATATCAAAAATATACTTGTATTAAAAATTTAACTCAAGACTGTTTTTCGAAAAAGAAAAAAATAGCTTTCCTAAAAACACGTAAAAAAAGAGAAGAAAAGATATCAAATTTATTACATCTATTGCAGGAAAATTTAAAAATTATTTATTATTAAATAGATGGGGTTAAATACTTAAATGCAATTTCTTATTATATTTATTATCAAAACCATTTATTAGTAAAATTTATTATAATATTAACTGTAATATATTATATAACTGTCAAATACGTCTATAAAAGTGGCATTGTATCTAATATTTTATAAACAACTGTATATAGTAGAGGATTATAAACTATATGTTTACTTACTTTTTATAAAGAAATCTCTTATACTTATTTGGACTTTGAAAATATTTTTAAGGTATGATAAAAAAATTTCAAAATAAATATACAGTTGATTAGTCATTTTGAACTCGGCTAATTACAATATCAAATTTGTTAATTTTTAAATAATATATGATTATATTTATTTAATTAGGGTTAAATAATCATTTAAATAATAAAAGTCAATTAAACTTCAACAGTTTAAATTATTTAGTGAGTTATTGATATTATATTTTTAATACAGAATTTGATTGCAAGCTGACATAGTGAAAATATAATTTATATGTATTAATCTAATCTAATAAATAAAATAATATTCATTTAATATTTAAATAGTCTTATTAATTTCTAAAGAATAAAATTATATCTATATATTACTTAATGGAATTATAAAAGAAATCATTCAGTTGGCAATCAAAAAAATTTATTTTTAGTTCAAAGGGATATTAAGGAGCCATTAAAAAAAAATTTTTTGATTCAGGGGGCTATTCAAATTTTTCAGGGGGCTCGAGCCCCTGCACCCCCCCCCCCCCCTAGCGACGCCACTGGTCTGAAGGATATGGACTTGATCAACCTTTCGTTTACAGATTTTTTGGCACTCAGCAAAAACAAAAAACAATTAAAGGGACATCTACAATACATGCTTAAATATGGTCTAAACTAGAACAGCAATCGTGGAAATATTGGACTATTCTCGCACCGTCTTATTTCCAACCTCTTCCCCCGGGTTGAATGACAATTTATGCATCGGCACGGCACGGGTTATATTGGAATTATGGATTGAATGAAATAGGATGAGGATGATGATAATTAGTATTTTATTAAATTGACCCCTCCCCTTTATAACTCCTTCCCTGTCTTTTTCCTTTCCTTACTGGATTTGACGAAGGCAATGATGATCTCAAGACCGTGAATAATATTAATAATAATAACCAGGGTTGTGCATTTGACCGGTCAAATACAATTCGGTCAATTGATCGATATTTGACCGGTCAAATATGGTCAAATTCAAATAAATGTTTTTTACACCAATATTAACTTTATTTTGCATTTATATAATATTATAATAAATCTATGTATAATAATAAATATCATAATATTTTTTAATTCATTCTATAGTCAATGTTTCACCCTCCGTGGCAGAGTCTTGTTCCGATTCATATTCAATATCATTATTTTCTTTAATATTTTTAATCAATCTTAAATTATGATACACTCTTACTAATTTTCCTGCTGTAGAAGCCTTTAATATATTTCTGTTTTTCGTGTGAATATTTCCCCAAACCGACCAATTTCTTTCAGAAGAAGAAGTCGAACTAGGAAATGTTAGTAAAATATTAGCGATTTCTCTTAATGGGCAAGGTGGGCAAAATGCATTCCACCAACTTGAGGCCGAAATTTGATTGTTTCTTATGGAAGTTACAACTTTCCACATATTATGGCTATTAAATATACCGCTTTTGCTTCTGAAATTTACTATATTACTCAAAATATTTTGATGATCACCACCTTGTAAAATACCCAATTCTTGTATTATATTACATGCTTCATCAAATTCAGTATTAGTAAGATGCTCCCCTTGATATTGGGGGTCCAATAAATAAGCAGTATTGTGAGCACATGTATTTAGATCAGTTTTTCTCTTTTCAAACATAACCTTAATTTTTTTTTCTTGAGATGGAGAAAATATAGAATCATGGCATGATTGTATTATGTGTTTTTCCAAATTAAGCATCTCGTTTTTTACTTGGGCCAAAGTACATTTATCCCCTTGCACTTTCAACAATGAGATAGCTAAAGGTTGGAGTATAGCTAAAAATTTTAAATTTTTCGTCCAAAATTCTTCGTTTAATATAATTGGTAATTTCTATGGGACAAATATCACAAACAGCTTCTTCAACAACTGATGCTTTTAGAGCTTTCTTGCATATTTGAATTTGCTCCATACATTTTATTGACGATGCCCATCTTGTTTGGCTAATTGTACTTAATGTAGATGGTATGCCATGAAGATTCTTATTACGGGAAAATACTGCAGCTGGTATGTGTTTATTCTTGAAAAATTTAACAATTTTTTTAATTATTGAAATATGGTCCCTGAAGGCGTTCAATAGTTCAAAATCGTGAAAGAATAACTGCAATGTATGCGCTGCACAACCATAACATTGTATATGATTATAAAAAGATTCAGATTTTAGAATTCTCCAGGCTGCTTTCATGTTAGCGGCATTAACAGTAACTAAAGAATATACTTTTACCGGATTCAATTCATGAATTGCATTTTTAAATTCCTGGGCAATATAATCTGCCGTATGGCGATTTTCCTCAGTATTTAGAAATTTGTAGAACACTGGAACAGGCGTCATCACCATAAAATTAATAATACTCTCGTTTCTAATGTTGCTCCAGCCATCTGATACAATTGATAAGTAAGGAACTTTATCTATTATATCTGCAACTCTCACCTCCATATCACCTGACGCTTTGTCTAGAAGATATCCAGCCAGCTGCCTTCTCCTGGGTAATGTGTAAATAGGACGTATTTTTTTAAAAAATTCTTGGATGTAGGGATTTTCAGTGATGTGGAAAGGTAAATTGCTCGCATATAC